AGGCAGTGAAAATCCACTTGAGGATAGGACACTTCACAGTAAATTTGGGCCAGAATGCTATCCAGAGTGGGAATAAATTATACCATGTTAAACTTAAGTAGTGCACACCAGGTGTTTGGGGATCATGGAGTAATGCTGATATGCAGAGGTAGCCCAGTTGTTCCTCTAAAGCCTTCCTAAGCAGATACAACCCAAGGATTCATCTTGAAACTCTGCTGGAGATAGTGCATTCTAAAGATTATTGCAGCAGAAAATTCTTACAATGAACCCAAACCATTAGATTCCTTTTTCCCCTCCCACATTAATTTCAACATGATTTTTAGAAATAAAATAATGATACTTACTTGGTTCAACTGTAAGAGTGGTCCCACTTCCAAATGTAAGCTTATCTGTCCTCACACTGCTAATACTTAGTCCAATAAATAATTCTTTCTTCATGTTATTCAAAAGTGTTGTAAAAAGAGGAGATGAAAAGCCAGATGTTTGTTTTAATTATCCATGTATGCAATCCCATGAGGGTATCCAGAGCCACATTTTCTTCCAAAACTGGAAAAGGAAAAACAGTAATTGAACAATTCAACGATTTCAAATAGCTTGATTGAATACAGAATTTCCAAGTTCTCCCTTTCTTCGATCTTTTAGAAACTCTGTGACTTCTGTATTTCCAGGTTAAATAGAAATATAAAAAGAAAGCTGTATTTGTCTCCTTAATCATTTCAGTCACCCATCTCCTTTCTTCCCCAAAATATATTGCCTTTTTTCCATCTTTGGGTTTTTGTACAGGGTCCTATGTTGTTTATATCATTGTGGTACTCCAGTCCCCAAACACAGTGATATATTCCATTACAAAAACTGTCTCTTCCTTTTCACCACACAGAATTTTGGATTATGCAGCAGTCACATGACTTCTCGAGTGGTTTCTGTGCCAACATACCACATGAAGAAACATGATATGGCTTTCAAAGAATGGTCTAAAATAAGATCAAAAGGGCTCAATTATAAGTCAAAACTTTGGGAATGCATGACACCTCTGAAAAGTCTCATGGAGTTAAGCTGAATAGAAAGCAGGTAGAAAAAAATACCAGTACTTCTAGTGCTATTTCAAAACATTTAGGAAAATCATTCTGTGCTGCAGGAAGCTGTCTACTTTTTCACCTTGAGTTTGGTTTCAATGCTCAAGAGCATGAGGAATGTGCCTGATCTGGGGTCTTAGAGTTGGTGTCTGGGGGTCATTTGGTGCCTTAGAAAGTCTTCATGCCACTTTAGGTAAGATAAGAAAGTAGGCAAAATGATTGTTCTTTGTTAGGTAGAGGCACTGTACCCATGGAAGTGGCTATTAAAGAGTAAAGGAGTTGTTGTAGATTGATCACATCCTTCATGATGATCAATTTCTGCATCATTAGCCCTATCTAGACCTTGATGGCAACAGATGGACTCAGTCTCCAAGACCCTGCAGCTTCAAGAGCCCACTTCACCCTTTTCTAACAAAGGAGTGGCAGGTTGAGTCTGTGCCCATCAAGATAGGAAACTGTATTGTGTTTGCATGACAAGGTTTAGGTAGTGGGGGAGCTACAGGGGTGGCTTCTGTGAGAAGGTGCTAGAAGGTCCCCCTATGTCCAATAGAGCCAATGCCAGCCGGTTCCAAGATGGACCCACCACTGGCCAAGACCGAGCCAATGGTGGTAGTGCCTCTGTGATAACATATTTAAGAAAGGGGGAAAAAAACTGCGCAACTGCAGCCAGAGAAGAGAGGAGTGAGAATATGTGAGAGGAACAACTCTGTAGACACCAAGATCAGTGCAGAAGGAAGAGGAGGAGGTGCTCCAGGCACTGGAGCAGAGATGCCCCTGCAGCCTGTGGTGAAGGCCATGGTGAGGCAGGCTGTCCCCTGCAGCCCATGGAGGTTAATGGTGGAGCAGGTATCCACCTGCAGCCCAGGGAAGACCCCACACCAGAGCAGGGCGATGTGCCCGAAGGAGGCTGTGACGCCGTGGGAAGTCCGTGCTGGATCAGTCTCTTGGCAGGACCTGTGGACTCATGGAGAGAGGATCCCACACTGGAGCAGGTTTGCTGGGAGGACTTGTGGCCCCATGCTGGAGCAGTCTGTTCCTGAAGGACTGCATCCTATGGAAGGGATCCACGCTGCAGCAGTTCATGAAGAACTGTAGCTTGTGAGAAGAACCCATGTTGGAGGGGTTCATGGAGGACTGTCTCTTGTGGGAGGGACCCCACACTGGAGCAGGGGAAGAGTGTGAGGAGTCCTCCCCCTGAGGAGGAAAGAGCAGCAGAAACAAGGTGTTATGAACTGACCAAAACCCCCATTCCCCATCCCCCTGCACTGCTCAGGACAAGACGGTAGAGAAAATTGGGAGTAAATTTGAGCCCAGGAAGAAAGAAGGGGTGAGGAGAAGGTGTTTTTAAGATTTAGTTTTTATTTCTCATTATCCTATTCTGATTTGATTGGTAATAAATTAAACTAATTTCCCTGAGTTGAGTCTGTTTTGCCCATGAGCCTTTCATTGTATTTTCTCTCCCCTGTCCAGCTGAGGAGGGGGAGTGATAGAGCGGCTTTGGTGGGTACCTGGCATCCAGCCAGGGGCAACCCACCACAGAAATGGAGATTCCCATCATGATAAAGGCTTGGAGCTTGTCACTTCTGACACCAAGAGGAAGGCTCTTGCTTCACCCGAAGATTTGTAACTATAGAATAGGTTCAGTCCTGTCATAACAAATCAGGCGCTGTGAGCTGTCAAATGAGGTATCTGAGCCCATTGGCCATGATTCACACAGAAGCACCAGAAAAAGTGGTGCATGTTAGTAATGGAAGGCTCCCTGCTGCAGGGAACAGAAGCCCCCTCTGACAGCTGGACCTGTCACCTAGGGAGGTTTACTCCTTGCCAAGGACTTGGATTGGGGACATTGTTAAAAGACTTGCAAAACTTATTACACCTACAGACCACAACCCCCTGATTGCTTTTCCATGTGGGTATTAATCATACTGCCAGGGGAATCCTGGAAAGTAGCAAGCAGGCTCTGGGGGTGATGATCAAGGGCATGTGGGCTCAGGTGGGTTTCTCTTTGATCCTGCTGGTGAGGGGCGGGGGGGGC